ATATCAGTGTCATTTGGTGTTTAAACATTAGTGGTACCTTCAGAATACACTTGAACTTGCTAAGGCTGATCTGCTGCTAATAAACATGTGCCTGGGTATCACTCCTCTATGTCATATTAGCCTCCCTGCGTCCTGAGATCTTTTCAGTGGGGGACTTTAGAGTGACAAAAAAGAGTAGTATTAAATTGCAAACAACAAATTGAGTTACTTGATGTGGTACTTTTACTGGAAAAGAGCTGGTGTTTGAGGTCCTTTATATTTTTTTAACTTGTTATTACTTCCTATCCTTGCTGTTCACTTATTTTGTCTGTTGACAAGTGTTTGTTCCTCTGTTAATTTTGCGCCTTCTCTATCAGCAATTCTATTTTGTCTCACATCTCCTTTTGTTTTGCTGACTCTTGTAATTTTAGATCCTGTATGAAAATGTTTGCTTTTTGCAACTGTTAATAACTGGATATTGCTTCTTATTCTTGTAACCCCAGTGTTTCTCTTTTGTTGGCATAACTTACTGATGCATTGTTTGGTTTCATTGTTCTGTCTCATTGCTGTGTTCTGTTATCTGAGGGAAGCTAAATTTGCCATACTTTCCACTTTTCATTGTGTTGAGACATATTCCTCATTTCTGAGAACACCTGCTTTATCTGCACTCATAGACATTTCTGCTGTGACTGGTGCTTGTACAACTGTGTGTTGCCTGAATGCATGTTGGCATTCCTGTGTTCTGGTCCTCTCCTCATCCCTTGGAGTTAAGGCAGGACATTTACCCCTGGTTCTATAGATAGGAAGCCAAGATCAAAGCTTGCCTAAGGCACCTGGGAAATCTTTACCAGAAGAAATAATTGAACTCAAGCCAACACCCTAATGAGACTACCTAGGATCTCTTTTGACCAGCTAACCCAGCCTAAGAAAACCACTGGGGTTGAAACTGGACTCCTGTGTGTGTCTCTCCTTTGGCAGGCCAGGAGTTCAAGAATGCTGATGTACCTCTGTTAGCTTTTCAGTACAGCTTTTTTTGAGCCCTGCTCCCTGGAATGGTAAAAGCAGCTGCAGAGCCAGGAGGCTGGAGTTGACAACCTGAATGAAGGCCTTAAAGGAAAGGTGAAGTGGAAAACTCTCATGTCTACTAGATGGGAATGCTGACCCCTCTGCTGGTGGTACAAGAGCTTGGACTGAAATACAAAGTTGTGATGCCAAGTCACGTTTATCTGTGCCAGCTATTGCCGTTTCTGCCTTTGGACCTGTTGCAGCAACGCAGGAGGCAGAAAAAGCAGCTGTATGTTCAGGGAAAAAGTTTGCCCAGCTGCACATCTAGCATGCAACCACTGCTAAACTCCTGCATTTTCTGTGTTCCTGCAAGTCCTCTGTTTGCAAACACCTGACAAGAGGGGGCCTTGTCTTCCAGAGGTGCCTCTTGTTGGTAAGGACAAAATGGTTTAGGAGCAGGAATGGTTGTTGGCTCACTTTATTTGACTTGATGTGGGTCCTTGTTCTATTGCTCAGGGTTTTGAAGGTGCTAGGCAAACTATTTTGTCACTTACACTAAGGTAGTTTCATGCAAGAGCCTGAAATCTAGCTCAGGTCTAGTGACTCTGCAGCAGGGAGAGAGTCCTGTTTATTTTAAGCTGTCAAAGGCTAATTGTTTCTTAAACAAAGCATGAGCGAGGCCATTCTATAAATAAGATTAAAAAGTTCATAGCACCTCTCCAAGCGGGAGAGGTCTGTCATGTCAGCGGACCTTACTTCTTGAAGAACCAGCTCAACAGATTAGTTTTGAGGGAGAATCCTAAGCAAAGGCTGTTTTGTGAGTTTATATTATCAATATGAGAATAGTTTTTGCTCACTTGCTGGTACAGAAATTTTCACTTGTTCCGTTTTCCCAGAGCCCGGAGAAAGATGCAGCTGAGCTATTCAGATCGAGCGTAGGGTCAGCATAATATCTACTATAGCCTTAAGTGTGGATATCTTGCTCTCAGGCAGTTTAGAATGTCCTAACCTTCTTGTTCAGGACATAGGGGATCTGTGCCTCTTGGCCCTGTGTCCAGGTTAGGGTGCTGAGTGGTGCCAGATGAAGGCAGGAGTGCCCTTCCATGCCTTCTACAAAAAGGGTTTGAGAATCACTGGAACCATGAGATTGTGTAAATAGGACCCAAAAGGCTGGGGCACTTCTTTCAGCTGGAATGAACCTGTGCTCCTGTCCTTGTCTCTATACTGCTTCTTTACTATAAATAGCTGTTGGATGTTAGCGTGAGGACTCTGCTTTCAGATTTGATCCCTCTTAGTCAGAAGAGGAAACTGAACCTCTCTTCCGCATCTGGGGCTAGCACTGTAGTGTAGGATGGGGGCAGGGGCAAGGAGGTCAGGCAGCACTGCTCCAAATTCTTCCTCCTGTATCCATCTGACGATGTACAGCCTGGCTTTTCCAATCTCAGTGCTCTCTGGGCTCCCCTTTTCCCCCTTTTTTAAATAAGAAGGAGTGTGCTTTTGAATGTATAAACTGCCAGTGGCAATTTAGTACAGAAAAGAAAAAGTTTGGGAAAAGGAATTTAAACCTATGGCTAGCTTTCTGCTATTTCAAGATATATGTGGTACTGGATTATTGAACTGTACTAATAATGTGGGTGTTTTCCCCCCTGATTTTTGAGGTTTCAGTGTGATTTAGCTTTTGCACAGTTGGAGACTTTATGTCCCAAAGGAGATATGTGGCAGAGCTAGGCAATGAATCCAGGCATCTTAAGTTGTTCTAGACCAGTGTCTGAACCTCAAGACCACCTTCCCCAGTATTTTAGCTGCAAATGTTGGTAACGGTGCATGCTGGGAATTAGAGCTGCTATTAATCACCAGTCGGTACAGTGAGGGGGAGAAAAATATTCTCAGTTGGAGAGGCGGAACAAAAAGTAAGTAATGGCAATAGCCAGCATCAGCTGTAGGAAAATTTGACAATGGGCCTGTTAGTCACCATCAGTAGCTGCATTCCTGTCTCACCTCCATAAATACACTTCTGTGCCATAGCAGTGAGAAACCTCATGGAACATAATTAACAGAGCATGCAGCAGGAGCTGCCTGCTAGGTAATGTATGACGGTGGATGACAAGGGGTGCTGAGACTTACTTGTAATTAGCAGCAAGAAGTGTGTTGTGGAGTAATTTTCTTGAGTTTAATGTTGATTTTTGTTGAACAACTTCTGTTAATTTGAGGAAGTGCTTGCCAGAACTTTCTGATTTGAAATGAGTATCGCAGTTTTATTGAGGCTTCTTCCCTGGGCTTTTGTGCATTAATCATCTTATTTGACTTCACACAGATTGAGTCAGTCATGCTTTGTGAAAAGTACGGGATCAAGTAGAAAGTGCTTATAGAACAGTATAAATCAAAACATTCTGAATACAGCAAAGGCTAAAATGTAATCGTGGTGGCCTCAGAATGGTGCTGAGAAAAAAGATGTAGTGACTGATGGTGCTTACAACACACCAATGTAGTATATTCATCAGTGTGCTTATTCTTTTTACCCTTCCCTCCTACTGTCTGAAAATGTAAGCTATGGTTAAGGAGCAGAGTATGTGTCCTTTAATTAATATCCATTATTTTTTGTCTTGTGCCAGATGAGAAAACCTAATTAGTCAGAAAGAATGAAAAGCCTGAAGAAAGTGAGAGTGGCATAACTAAAATTACTCATAATTGAATTCTGAGACATACAGAATCAAATAATACCTAGAAGAAGGAAGAGAAGCTGAATTTCAGCTTTCCTGTACAAGCAAAGGTACTTGTATGTTTTATTACCTAGGTACTTTAGCCTCTGGTCTCACAGTGCCAATGAGATCTGACAGTTTTGATTGCGTGGTTCTTTCTTTTGTTCTTAAATACTGTAGGATTAGCATTTTCAGAACTATGCTGCCTTGGTTGGCTTCCTAATGCAAAAACACTTGAGTGAATTCTGCAGCTACTTTGTATGCTAATGTACATTTTTCAGCTATATGGTGTATTTCTTTTCTGTGATAACTTTCATAAGCATAAGCTATATTATATGCATTATTAAACACCTTCATTGATCTTACAATAAATGCCACATAAGCAGATATGTAGACATATAAATACAGCTGTATCTTGCACACCTTGCAACTTAAACCGTGTATCAAAGCTTATATCCTCTGTGATTATCCACTCACATTAGCAATTAGGCACAGCTCCAGCTTTGCCATTTATAACGACCTTATTTTGATGCTCTTTGCAAGTATTCTAACAACAGTGCTGTCTTTAAATAAACAATGAGGCAAAGCTTTCCACAAAGCACCCTTATGAGAATGTGGCAAGTAATGAGCCTTGGAGGGGGTTGGTTTGTTTCAGAAGTTTTACTCGCACACAGAACACAGCTTGGGTGTGAAGGAATATAGGATTAGACTTAATTACGGAATTATGATTTATGAGACTGGGCACTAAAATGAAATATCCTTGGTTCAAAGAGCTCATTATAAAACAGAAGTAGGGAGAAAATTTGGCTTGGGGAAGAAACCAATTGATTTAATAATGTAAAAGTGGGTTTACCCATAAATTTTGTGGTAGTAATGGAAATGAGAGGATTCCAATTTTGAATTGAAACAAGTGGTGGCTATTACAATTTCTGTAGTTCTCACCTGGCCTGTGGGTAATGTGGGGAGTAGTCAGGAAGGAGACAGGAGATTGTTTAACTTGTACAACTTTAAGTCTGATTTAACTTACTTTTACATAATGAGGGGATTACCTAAACAACCTTTACGTAGTTCTCAGACTCACTAGAAATCAAGGTTATCCTGTATTTTAAAAGTGCTGTGGAAGAAAGAGTCAGATCAGTCTTTGCCTTCCCTAGCTTGGAACATTATCTTCTAAGAAGTGCATGAACCTTTGCTCAGTCAAGTGTTTTACTGCACGGCGACGTGTTTGAAACCTGCTGCTCTTCACTCTTAATGGTGCAGGCTGCTGCTGCTGCTCGGCTGAAGCCTGAGCCTGTTTGTTGGGCAATAGCACAAAGCCGTGTCCTCTGCACGTGTATTTAATGCACTTGAAAGTCTGGTTTCTGCTTGCTTTGAAAGGTCTGTTACTTCTTGTACCAAAGGGAGATTGGTGAAGTTCATGTGACTTTGATATACTTGATTAGGGGTATTTATGGAAAGACTGGAGAAAGTAACGTGAACGGTAGTTCAGGATTTTGCCATTTTCTTTGTCTGTCTTGTTTTGTCACTTACTTAAAGGCGCATATTTTAGTTATATTAAGGACATAAACCCCCTTATGACATTATTTTAAACCTTCATTTGTTATTTGTAAATCTGATTCCATCTAATTATTTGAATCAGTAATTCCACTGCTATGTAGATGTGGACACTTCCTGACATAGGTTCTGGTTTCAGCTGTACAATGATGCTAAACCCTGACTTTTTGGACTGCTTTTTGAGTGGTTTCTCCTCTCTGCTGGCACTGGGCACCAAGAGGTCCCAACCTCACCTACAGCTGTGTGGGAGCTGAGTCCCAGTTCCCAGAATTTACAGCTTCCTTTCCCATTGGGCACAGGAAAGCTTCAGCTGTTCAACTGCTTTAGGTTCCTTATCTCTGGAGAAGTAAAAGTAATTACTACCTCAGTTCACTTCAAGCATGAAACAAACTTAAACCAAGAAATTACATTCTAGCAAGGTAATGGTTTTGATTGTAAAATTGGAAACAGAGTTAAGGAAATCGCTTGAGGTTTGAGGGACTATTTTGGCTGTAGTAGCCAAAAGACTGTCAGGAGTAGTCTTGTTGCTTTAGTGCTGTTTTTCCAACTGTCTCTGTCTACCTCTCACACTCATTTGTTTGCATTTATTGGTTGCTGTTGAATAGAAACAAATCATTGTCCAAAGCATGGTCTTTTGAAACAGTTCTTATTTATTGCTTAAAAATAAAGAGGACCCTAAGTCATTGACCAGGCTGGGCTGCATGGGGCTCTTTTACTGTGAGTTCTACCTGGGTATAAGTTTCCCCTTCCAGAGCTCCTGCAGCTCTGGATCTTCTGCTCAGGTTTACCTTTTGGCTTGGCAAGTTAAGTGAATTGTCATAAATTTCAGGAAGGTTTTGCCAACCATGTCCATGAGTGCTTTTTGCCCTCTTCCTGTTGCTCAGTAGCTGGCCTTCTGTGCCTCTAGTTTAGGGGATCCTTGTGCACTAGCAAGAATGTTTCAGAGTTTGGTAACTTGAGATGCTGCCTGTGCAGAAGCTGCCCCAGCCCTCTGTGGGCTTCACCTGAGTAGGATTTTCCTTGCTATTACTTCCAGTGGCTGATGAGTGACCATGAGTTGCTATAGGCTGCAGAGAACAGGGAAAACAGTCTCTCTTGGCCTCTGAGTCCTCAGGTTGCTGGCGCAGGGATGATGAAGAGGAGAAGGGGGAGATGGGTGCACAGAAGTATGTTGGTGAATGTAGGGTGAGGTGGTAGTGAAATCAGCAGATCAAGGGTGTGCGGAAAGAGGTAAGTGTGTGTGGTGGGGCAGTAACTGATTTGCGTGATTTAAAAGGTGGCGCGTGTTAGAAGGGAAGCAGGGCTGAAGAGGAACAGAAGATGATGGGCAGTTGCTGAGAGATGTGCAGTTCCCTCTGACAGAAAATAGCTAGAAGAGGTACTGGCAAACTGCCCGATTTCTTTTCAAATTGCTTCACATGGAAGAACTCAGCTTGTCACTGCACCTGTTTACTTTGGTGTTTCGGATGGTGGAAGTCTGCGCTGAGCTCTCAAACAGTTGAGTATTTGGTACTTTTTTCCCCAGGGTTTCCAGTGTTGTTAAGCAAAATGCATAATAATACTGCTTTCTCCAAGAGAGTGCCTGAGTTACAAAGTTCCTCAGAAAGAAATAGCAGTTTTAAGATTATCTATGGTATCTTACGCAATTCTTTGTGTAAAAGCACAGGAGTTCTTACTGGTGTTGGTCCAAACTTTGTTTGCAATGTATGGCTGACTTACTAAGTGCACGCAGTGCCCAATGCTTTGTAACAACTAAGATTATATCTAATGTATTGTGGTACTTTGGGAATCTTCTGATATAATACATTTTGTAGAGTTCATTTGAAATGCCCCTTTAGGTTGTTTCTGCCACATGGCATGGAGTTGAAATTACTTGGTAGAAGGCAGCTAGAAGAGCATATCAAGTGTGTTTTTTACCATCTGACACTGTAGGCTAAGCTTACTACAGCTCTTCTCTGTACAAAGAATTAATATTAAAACAGTAATCAAGTTTTTGTTCGTTGACCTCTGGCAGATAAACATCAACGTCATTTAAAAAAATCAACAAACAAACCCTGAAACAAGGCTTTTCATATGAATTTCAAACTACAGAAACTTGTTATGACCCAGTGCTTGGAGTTCTTATCTTGATTTTCTTTGAGAGATTTGTTTGTATTTCAAAAGGCTTTTTTTCCCCCCTGCACTTGACACACACAAGTTAATTGATGTTGCAGGGCAGTTGAAAGCAGTCAGAGGATTGGGAAAACAACTGCTTAAACTCATGGCAAGCCCCAGATTTTTGTACCTGCTGCCCACAGTTAAAAGAGAGCAACCCCATTCTTAAGGTTTATCCTCTTTTGAGTGAAAACTTGCGCTGGTATTCCTGTGTGCAGAGAAGGGTGGGTCAAGCACCACACTCCAAGCCACCTGAGCTGCCTGCCTGCCTCCTGAGGGTGCTTGGGATGAAAGCTGGAGGAGCAGCAGGCACAAGCCACTGAGGCCTCCCCAGCCACACCTGCAGGATGCGTTTCATTTCAGCGCGGGGAATTTTGACTGCCTCCAGTTTGCGTCTACATCCTGATGCCTGTGGAATTTTGTGTAGTTGTGTAATCGTGAGCACTGTGATGTGGAAAACTTAACTAGGCAGCTTTAGAGGGCAGCTGATTTAGGTGTGACCAGTATAGTTTTGTTCTGAATCTGGCAATACCCAACGTTATTTGTACAGTCCCAATTCCTAGAATTCCATGAATTGTGCATATCCTCAGTTTCTCCTTCATGGATATGGAGAAAAGCCGAAAACCAAGAACTGTTGCAAATGAAATGTGTGTAAGAAGTACCTTGAGTTGAGCAGTAATTTTCTTCCACTAACTTAAAATCAGAATACATGCTTTGCAGGTGGGGTGGCTAACGAATGGTAGCTCAGTGCTGAAGACTGGAAACAGTGCTTTTTTTTTTTTTGCCTGACTTTGTTGATCTTGTTTTAAAGTTAACTGAGCTCAGATTTCTGATGAGCTCCCCAGTTGTTCCAGGTAACTGAAACATTAGTGGGCTTTGCTAAAGTATTCACTGTCACCTTTTCAATCTGGCCAATGTATTTTTATTGTTCAGAAACAATAAATAGAGGAAACAGAAGTAATATATTGGGAAAGACTGGGTGTCGGGTTTGAAACACTAAGAGCAGATCCTTGTGCAGTTATGAGTGGTGAAAAATGTTCAAATGCAAGTTCCATTCTTCCGACCAAAGAATAAAAGTTTTAAGGCTACTTAGGTTAAAAAGAAAGAAATCCTTCACTTAATAAAACCCCAGCAAACCGCACCAAGAGAAAAAGGTTAACTGCGTGTTAGTGGTATTACTTTGATATCTTGGACAATTTCCAACTAGGTTACTGCCTTTTGCTAAGGTAGACTCAATTTCAGCTGAATGCACCGTCTGCTCCTTGCTGTCTGCCATGCGTGAGGGTGCCAGTCCGTAGGCTTCATTCCTCTTCCAGATTTGAAAAACAGGGACCAGTGGGCTTGACTCTTCAGAGGGAGCTGAAAAGTGAGTGTTGAGAGGCTTGTGGAATTTCATTGTTCTAAAATGAGGCTTTACATCAGGCAGGGCAATGTCTGTAACGCTTCTCAGGTTGAAGACAGAACCTTAGTAAGTCAAGCTTTACTGCCAAACTGTTGTAATTAATAGTTTGGATTTCCGTGTTGCTGTAAGAGCAGTAAATCTGAGTATTTCTGTGAATACAGGAAGTCCAAGTTTAAAATCAGATTGTCAGGTACTTTGTAGATACTCTTGCATATTGGTGCCATCATAATAGTATGTTATTTGTAAACGATAGTAGAATACAGAAAAAAAAGTCATGCCTTTAAATGATAAAAGTACAAAATAACATATAGAAAATTTACTGGATTTCTTCCTTTTTGGGGTTGGTGAGGAGGTAATAACTTATTTATGTCAGGCTGTAGGTGACAGTTTGCCATTTTCTTAGTTACTTTTTCTAAGTGAAAGATATAACAAATTTTTATGACATTATTTCCAGTGGTGGTCTGAGGTGTATATTCTACATCTGCAAATTTGTAGACATAAGTTGCAAATATGTCAGGAGGCAATTTTTTAAAGAACCTATTGAAGAGGATCCAAGTTAAGATTTCTGCTTCCCTGCTTAAATCTGCAGGCATACTAAAAGAAAGATTAGGATTTGATCATGAAGCCATTCAGAGGCAGGCATCCAGCTCTTCAGAGGGAGCACTGCTATGGACCCTGGGCAGCTGCAACATTTGGGTTAGAGTTGTGCTCAGTTTCTGTGAGAAATGGCTTCTCATGCAAAAACAAACAAGGTCAGGACCTGGCAGGCAATAAGTCTTGTCTGTATTAACTTTTGTAGTTGGACAGGTTTTTCTGCCACTGAATGTAAGGAGTAATTACCATATCCCCTCACACACCCCCCCCCCCCCCCATGTAATATCTAGGCTATAGTAAAACCACTACATGTAAAGTTCTGTTATGACACCTTATTTGAAACAAAACTGTGTATTAGGCTGGTGGAGTCAAGCTCCTGTCCATGGGACTGTTTCACCTGGTCCACTTTCTTTCTGTGGCAGATTAAACTCTCTACTCTGATAGGTTGCTTTCAATAGAATCATTTTACTTTAGTAGAGCTGGAACTGGGACAACGCTGGTTTGAATTTTCAAGCATAGATCTATGTATGTTTGAAAAGAAATATTGTAATAAGGGATGGGACTCAAGCAGAGGAGCAATTTGCACAGGGTCATAGGCATGTTGTGAAACATTACCAAAGATTCCAAGTTCTGGGCCAGGTTTTATAAATGTTGATCTGGTAAGATGTTCCGTGCTAAGCTGCATAAATTGGTTTATCTCATGGTGAGCCTGGGAGTAAGCCAGATGTGACAAAACTAGTTAGTTTTTTTAAGTTTTCGTGTGTCAACTGTGTGTTTTAAAGATGCAGAATTAAGTTTATCATTACAAAAACAAAGTGCTGAGGAGTTTTATGCATGCTGGCATTACTGTCATGCTCATACATAGGGTGGAACCTCATTGACACTGGCAAGTATAATTACTGATTTGTAATTAATTTGTTCTTCATTTGTAATGGAGGTGTGAGATAAAATCCTTCCTCCTTTCTTCAACCAGATAGCTGAAGTTACAGAAGTCACCACCCAAAGCACATATACTTGTTAAAGTCTGAGCAACAGCTGAACACTGTTACCCGAGAAGCTTCACAGAAAGAAATTCAGCATCGACTGGGTGAGCTATGCAGGCCTAAGTGACCAGAATAACAGAGAATGTAGGACAAAAACCTCAGTCGTAGCCAAACAAAACCTGTTATATTGACCCAAGGACAATAAAAATGAGTGTGCTACTGAGCACTGTTCTCTCTGAAAACTGTAGTTAAATAAACTCCTGCTATTTGATTTCTCCTGTGTCGAGGAAAACAAGAATTTATAAATTCTTTCTGAATAAATGATCAAGATAATGCCTTATACCATCTTAAACTTTTTTTTATAGTGGAAACAGCCCTTAAGTCTCCAGAACTGTCCTATTACTTGTGAATAAGGTTAACCTGGTATCATTAGGTGGATCCAACTTCCAAAATGGAAATTTGTGATAGGTGTTCCCGTGGAGCCATAGCGCAAGAAGCAATCACAGAATAAAACCTGCACCCTCAAAAGAGACCAGAAAGAATTGCTATGACTTCTAATACAAGAACTGGAAGCCCTGCAAATGGAATTGAAGAAATAATAAAAATGACATCTTAAAAAAAAACAACAAAAAAAAACTTTGGGTGCATCAGAAGGAGTGAAAGCAAAGAGGTTTCCTAAGTGAACTCTTTGAATGATCATTTGCAGATGAAAGTGAAACCTTGTATGGGCAGCAATTAGAACTCTCTGGACAAGTTTGGGAAATGAGCAGACAATATACCCACTCTCAAACAGCAAAGTGAGTCAATGGGATGGTGAAAATATATCTGCTCTGATCCTGATCTGTTTCTCCACAAAATACAGATGAGGAAAGCTTCGGATTGCTTTGCGTTTGAGCTTCAGCAGAGACTTGACTTTGGAAATGAACTTGAAGATCACTTATCTTGCAGATCAGTTATCCAGATGAGGGAAGATAGATAAAAAAATAAAAGGAAATTTAGAAGGTGATGAAGTATGACAACATTTTTTTGAACTACCTGGGGAGAACTCCTGTTGGTGCTTACAATTCCTGACATTTTCAGTGTAATTTACGTAAGGAAGAAGTACAGAGTCAGGACTATGCTGAGGCACCTTGGGAACAACTTGCCATTTAGTTGTAGGAATTACTACGGGTATGCTTTTACAAGTGTTCACAGATCTGGGAGCAGCAGGGTGACCTTGATGCCTCACCCAGATGAAGTCTCTTTGGAGGTTAGTTCGAGGTGCAGCTTTAGGTAGAAGATCAAATAATTATTTCAAGGAATGACTGTTGAAAAAGCGGTCACTTTTTCTTTCCTTCTCATAACAAGCAAAACCTCCTGAATAAGATGCAAACCTCCTGAATCATCCACTCGAAGAATATATTTTTCCTGGAATGGACTTCGGAGCAGCCAAAGGCTTTCCCAGGAGAGCATCTGGAGAGATAATGGGCTCTTGCCATCATCTTAAAGTGTAGTATCCCCTGAGAATGGCAAGATCAAGGTTTTCTGGTTGCATCAGGCAAGCTGGGAGTGTAGAAACAAGATAGTATGTGGGAGGTTATATTAGTTCAGAAATTGTACTGTGGCTTTGCAAATACTGAATTTGGGGGGGCTGCAAGAATCTTAGCTGATCTGAAAAAAGTACCATTTGGTGAAGTATAAGCAGGATGTGGAAGAGGGTGCAGGAAATGTGATGTTTGCAAGATAGGAGAGAGAGAAATCACCTGTGCAACAGTATCTTGTTGGGGCATCGATGGAGTGTGTTGTTGAAGAGCTCAGGGTTTTTTTGTGCCGGAGAATTTATAGTTATGATTGTCCATTGACGTGATAATTACTGACTTCACAAAATCGCCTGACACTTGTAAAGTCAGGCAACAAAGGACTCTGGAAGTAGAAGAGACTTTGCTGAGTGATTTTTGTAGGTTTAGAGTCAAGAGTGAGCCATCTGTGGGTCAAAGGAGAATTTTAAATTCAAACTATCGTGCTAAGTCTTCAAGACTATGGGCTTCTGTAAAAGACGCAGTAGCTCAGTGTGCCCACTATCGGGGTGTGGTAGCGTCATTAAGGACTCATACCTTCAACTGTCTAATTTAATAAACTCAAGGAAATTAGGGCACTATATCCTATTGCCCTTGAGGAACTTAGGAGTGGATGAGAGCATGAATTATACTCCAGAAGCTATTTTGTTTCAATATAAAGCAAATCTCTTATTTTAAAGATATTTTGGGGTGATGTGGACTGTGCAGAAGATCAAACGCTAGACTGGAAAAGCTTGTTCAAGCCTGTTTGGTAACACGAACATTTCTGGGACATATTTTTAGAGGAGAGCCTAAAGGAGTTCATGAATTGACTGGGTGTGAGTGGGACATAAACGAATCAAGGAGATTCAGTCTCAGTTGCACTTCGTACCTCCTTTTTGTATGTTGTTGATGCACATGCATTATAATAGTCTAGCTTGTAGTGACAAGTGAGTGGATTAAAGATCTGCATGGAACTGATTAAAGTTTATGTCCAGATCAAAGAATGAAGAGCAGCATTTCCAGCAAGCTCAGCTGAAAGAAAGCATTTTGTCAGTAGCTGCTTTTCATCTATTTTCTTGGTTTAGCAGACATCGTAGAAGGACTAGAGGTATTTATCCGGTTAGCCTGAAAGAACTGAAAATACCTTGTCAGTACTTCTTTCCAGTCATTTGAGTTCTGTGAGGATGCCAAAGATACTGTATTCCCAGACTTGCCTGAGTGATGAAATGTGTTCAAGTACCTTCAAATACCCTCAGAGTGGTCTCTGCACCTTGGCTGTGGGTATCTAGGTAGGTAGATGATGTTACCTGTTGAAGGAGTTTTGGAATTTCTATGTTCTGTCTGCTTTTGCTCAAGAACAGGATGTTTCTATGTGATGGTAGTTTTAGGAATCAGATCTGAGTGCTCGTTTTCTAAGGACTGATGAAGGCACTCATTATTTCTAAAAACAGGTGCAGTTTTTCTCCCTGACTTTTGCAGTCAGAAGAGCTATGGATCTGTTATGTAAGCTGGGCCTTAAATACCTTATATGAATTCTTGGTCCTTCTCTATCTAATCGGGACTGAATCCTTCTCAGTGACATGAGGTAGGCTATTTATTTTAGAAGAAGAAGATGGTTTTCCTATGCATCCAATGAAATATGTTGGTAGCTCTTTCTGTGTGGTGTTTGGTGCTGGTCTCTGGGCTATGCAGCCAGAGCTGGTTCACTGCAGTTCCTCAGCATTTAATCTACTGTGTAAGTTGTGGAGCAGCAGGAAGCCAGTTTTGTCCCCATTACTGAGCTCTGGTGTCCTGAAAGAGCAGTCTGTGTGGCAGTTGCATACATCTTTGCACTACTGATGCTGCTTCTGCCGCAGCACTTGCAGTTTGTGTGGCTGGTGGGAGGATGTTGAAGGGAAAATTTGAGCAGTAAGGGGTCCACACAACCCAAACAGTAGATAACAAATGGTTATCACTAAAGATTCAACCTTATTATGCACAATTTCTTCTTCTAGTGTAGTTTGACAAATCAAGCAATTCTGAGCTTTGGGATACCAATGAGCTTTGGTTTCCTCTTTGTTTGCAGGAAGGAGGAGATGCTCTGTTTTTTTCCCAGATTAGAGATTTATCTTGGGAGATGGGCAGATGACTACCACTATCCAGTCCCTAGACTGAAGGTAGAACCTTTCAGGTTAAACAGTGTATGTGAAGGGACTGAGGGTTGCCTGGAAGAAGCTGTCAGGCTCTTTATAGTGGTATAGATGTAAATGACTTGAGATAATTTCTGTACAGGCTGAACTCTCCGAGGAAAGGCAGTGGTCAGGACTTCAGCACTGCCTCAGCTAGCTAATGGCTTTTTGTGTTCTGAAGGTACTGTTCCCACCTTAAACTGAAACCTGAGAGGCCGGATGAATTTTTGTGTGTCTGGATTTCTGGTTCACTTAGCACTAATGTGGAAGTAACTGCTTTCAAACGGCCCTTGGCCAGAGAGCATTGCTAAGTGGTGCTGGGAAGTCTTATTTTGCTTCTGCCACTTTTGCTAATGTGCATTGAGAGGAGGGGAAGTGGGATATTTGTGCCGTCCCTTGCAGGTGGTGAACTGAGTGCTGGCCAGTCAGGTGTTTTCTGGGCACTGTGTTGCCAGAGTAAGTCAGCAGAGAATCTGATCCGAATGCCAGTTAAAAGTCTCCTCCGCAGCTGTGACAAGATCTGCACAAATTTAGTTGTCGGGAACTTCTGCACAACTTCGTTGAACATAAGTGCTGTGATACCTTTTTCTAATTTCAGGATGACAAGTTGGAGACAAACTTTTCTTTTGTATAAACACAGAGCTTTACATACAAACAAACAGTTATTTTCAGTGCTCATTTCCTAGAAAAAAAATTGAACTTCAAAGGTAAAAATAAACAAAAATGTTCTAAAACCTCTTCAGATTGAAGAGCAGGGAAAAAAAATAAACAACAAAGGCTCAAGCTCACTTCCAATTCACATAATTGCTAACACAGAGCTGCAGACCAGCTAGATGAAGTGCACATTGTGAGGCATGGGAACAATTTGTATTCCTTTTAAGCTGCCAGAGTAGCAAGGAGCATATACAAATGCAGTAGAATAAATCCTCCTCTCTGCTTTCCATTTTTCTAAGAAAGATCATCCATTTAGGTTTAACCAATATCTGTTTTTATCTTAATGGTTCACAGGAGAGCAGTTAACTTCTGATGTCTCATTTAGGGCACTACACTGATGGAAGAATTTATATGAGTAGATTGCAGTATCAGGGATTATCCTACCTTTTGATTGGCGAATAGTTTTTCAAACCACTGAGGCCGTGGATATACATTTACTCTGTGAGCTATTTTTTATCCATGGCTGCATGTCACTGTTCAAATCAAACAGTTTACATGAGTGCTGCTCGGCACTCTCTAAGCAATAGGAGTTCATATACTTAAACAATTTAGTAGATGATTTGTTCTAATGGAGTTCACTGTTGCTTAGAGACAGTCAAGCTCTGAAAGGCTGTAACATGAATTGAATGAAATAGCTCAGTATTTACTTTTGCTCTTTCCTGCATTTGGGTCAACTTAGTTCTTTTATCGAATATGTGATCTATGAGTCTTATAACTCAAAAAAGTGTCAGGCATCACCTAAATGCATGCTGGTTTGTTTCCGTGTGTCAAATGAGAACAGAGCTCTGCTTCAGCGAGGTACTTGGGGCAAGGCTGGCAGCTATGTTTTGCAGTTGGAAAAGAACCTTGAGAAGAGCATGTCTGTTTTAGCAGGAGGCCAGACCTTCTGCCACTCAGGCTGAAGCATCTCTCAATGTCCTCTTAAACGGAAGTGATAATCAAAATATAGCAGACTAATTGTTTATGTGAGTGGATGAGATTACCCCAGACAATGTGGTGCTGTTTGACTTGGAGAAGAAACTGTGTAAGCCTACACAAGGCTGCATCAGAGAGCTAGTGGATTGGCTTTTTGATTATGTAATCAAATCTGGAAAGGTGATAAAAATTGAGCTGATTTTCGGGTGGGGTGCTATACTATCTTTTCAGATCAGCTTATAGCTGAGTAGTATTATTTACTATATACAAATGAACAGGGAATCGTAGCTAAGGCACTGAATGTGCCAGGCATTGGGTTGACTTCTTGTGATAAGGCATCCGAGAGGGTTGTGGAGTGATAAGGAGAAGGTTAGAATAGTTTTACTGTGATGAATGTTATTGCACAATGTTAGGCTGACTTTAGCAGGACTTTTAAAATGGGGTTGTGTGCAGCAATTAGTTTATTTAACTTGAAACTAGCTGGGAATTTTGGTATCTCCTTTTTTTTTTTGTGTTCACATTCCCCTTCCAGGGAAACTGCCCAGTAGCAGGGCAGCCTTGCTGCTACAGTCAAAGTCACTATGGGAGCCAGGGCGGCATGGATACAAACCTCAGGATCTCAGGCTTTCCTGTAATTGCATTTAAGACTATACACTAACATAAAGAAATGGAACACACATAGTACCCTGAAAAGTGGAACATTTTCTTTCTGGGAAGGGCTGCTAGAATGGAGCCCACTTATTTTTTTTTTATTTTTCCATCAAGAAAATAAAAAAGAGTAGCCTGAGAGCACCAACAGATCCAAAAAGGGAAACAGGTAGCTTCCCATTGTGTGCCTCCATGGTGCTCACCACACTGGCTGAGTGCTGGTCGTGCAGGAGTAAGTAATGTTGACTACTCCATCACCCACCACATTCTCACCTAGCTCCAGTTCCTTGTGGTAGCTGCATGGTCTTCTTCAAACCAAGTCCTTTGTTTTCTCCTGTTGCCACTCATGTTGTTTTCCCCAGCTCACTCCAGCAGGTGCAGGGCTCGTGCCCCCTTGTGCTACATCTCCCTGAGACACGGGCTGTCAGTGTGCTGTCTCGCTGCTGGCCTTTCCCACATGTTGGATTTTGCCCCTTCCTCACCCACCTGTTGGTGGGCATGTTTTGGGCAGTCATGGTCATAAAAACTCCCAGTAGTTCCTTACAAGTTGCAGTCAGGGCTCTGCTCAGGGTGCAGAGGAGCTGGCCCTGAGGTCCTCCCTCCGCAGTGCCTTCTTGCTAGCCAGTGCTAAGCAGCTGCTTGCCCAGCATTGTGACAGGCCCTGATGGTGAATGGAGAAGGGGAAATGATTTTTCTTTTTTTCCCCAAGCACACAATGAAAGGAAGCGCTGTAATAAACAGAGTAAGGTAAAAAAGCTTTCCCGGCACATTACCTTCTAACACTTCTTCATCCTGTTTCTCTGCTCCAAGTCCCACTCGGCAGGACTCTGCTGTGGGGAGGGTCACGTCCAGTGCCTGGCCAGCTGGCTTCTGCCCCTGCCAGCCCTGGGGCTCAGGCTCCCTAGGGCAGAGTGACTGGAGAGCGAAGAGCCCTTGCTTGCTACTGGGAAGGGCTGCCAATGTGATGCTGTAGGCTGTGGTGGAGGAGCTTTGCATTCCCAGCTGGTGAAAGCCTCACTTTGTCCAGTCAATGGGAGGAAGGGCACCTTTCCCTTTGATCTCAGCAAAAGAAGGCCTGTGTACCTTAGCACACTGGAGCCAGTATAGAACAGCGACATTTCACTGTGGACGTAGCAAAAGAAATAATAAAGTGTCCAGAAGTTAAGTAAAAGACAAGAGGGGTGGGTGAAAGGGAGGGTGGGGAGAGGAAATACTTGGAGATGTCTGCAGTGCTTCCTGTTTGTTTCTGAAAATTATGAGTCAGATCCCTACCAACAAAAGAGAGGGGTTTGAAAAATCGTGAGTGTTAAAAAAGTGGTTGTGCATGGATTCATTCCCTTGGTCCTCTGGTTTCTGAGCTTTCAGAGCTGACAGCCATTTTTCGTGTTTCTCTGGGTGGTGATGACAGCAAGCAACATGTGCTGTTTTCCTGTTCTGTGAAAGTAGAGGTTTCTTTAATATATAATCTTATAGCATCAGGAAGTAGGCCAATAGTAAAGATACCAAAAATTGCAAGATTTAGAACAAAACGTATGATACTGTCGCAGTTCTTCTAGAGTTGATTGCTTTGACTTTAAAAACTTTTGCAACATGAGTTGTAACCTTCAAGATGGTTTGTCTTTCTTTGTGACATATACTTTGACATATACTTTGGCATGGGAGGAAGAAGGTGTGCTGTGTATCCCTGGATCATGTTTGAGAATAACAGTGCTTTGCAGTCACTGATTCAGAGGGATGAACCATGCTCCTTTTTCCTAACTAAAACGTAGTCCACATCTTTAAAACTCGTGGGTTTAATGGGATTGTAATGTGAGCATTAATATGGGTGTGTACAGGCGTTAATGCACTTAAAAGGAAAAATGAAGTGGATGCCATTCTTCTATTTACCTGTATATATCACTGAAGTGCAGGCTTTTCTAGAAGATGTCTTTGTTTCTCTGCCAGTTAATTCCCAGTAAGCGTACGTAAATGATAAAAGGACTCCAGCTCTCCAA